CATACGAATCCATTCAATAGTGCCCCGGGTATCCTCCACTGTAGGGAATTGCAGGCTAATAGGCATTCGTGTGTCGAGCACATGAACTGAGACCACTGCAAGTGTATAAAACACAGATTAATGACTACATACTTGATTTGAGGCACTGGGAGGCCGTGTAATCATTAAATAAGCAAAGATTTGGTTTTGGTTGACACTTACAGACATTGGGTTTGGCGACAGCGAAGGATCCGTCCTGATTGGTGTTGTCGGCCAACAACAGTGCACTCAATTCCAAACCCTTCAGCAGTTTGGAGGCCACGTGCTTGCGATCGGCGACACTCAGGTCAAGCCATGCGTCGTCCTGAGCGTTGTCTAACAGATTACTGACCGCTTCCACGATAAACATTAGCAGCTCTTTAAGCACTTGATGTCTGTGCCAGACTTCAAACGACTGCAAATTCTGCATACTTGCCATCGCATGAGACAATGTCTTTTGTACTATGAATGCAATTCTTTGTAAGTCTTCACAGAACAGTGCTTTCGTGAGAGTCATTAGCGCTAATTCATTAGCTATTCTGATCACCGGCTCATCATTATTGAGTCTTTCCTCCAGATTGTCTAACCATAGGGACCGGCATTGACTGAAATCTGGTCTTTCCGGCACCCAATCAGTTGTTTTAGTGATGGGATTATAGCTACACTCCCATTTGACAAGCCCGGTGGCACCACCCGGACACTTCTGATCAGCGATCTCTCCTTTTCGCGTCCAATTCCAGAACAAACTCCTCACGAATATTGGCGGACAATAATCTGTCTTTATATCTGTTATGGGGAATGCCTTTTGTATGGAAAAAGGAGGTGGTGGTGGTGGGGGTAGTTGTGGCGGTAATGGTGGTGACGAGTGATCCACTTTAATGGGTGTATTCAACCTGGTATTCGGAGGTAGAGTGGGAATCATGTCTTTAGAATCAGGAGAGTTGATGGAGAGTTGAGGCGAATCTGATTCACTCGAACTAATGATCGCAATGTTATTGAGACGACTGTCGGCAGTAGTCGAAGAAGGAGTCGTGAAATGAATGCCCGAAAAAAGATTGGATTCAGTCTTTGCAATGCTTTCGGACTCTGTGTTCATGATTGAGATGAGATCATCAGGGGATGCAGTGGTGGCCAACACTGGAGGCAACACAAGCGATGTATTGCTGGATGCAGGCAAAGGCATATTCAACTGCACGGGTGGTCTCCTAGTAGTGGTGAGGGCTGAGTCTCCCCCTATAGAAAGCAGTGATTCTCTTAATTAGGACTAATATTTTGTGAATCCATTGCTTATAGATTTAAATTACATAAAAATTGCATAAATTCTAGCCCCTGGACCACACATTCTGATAATAATAGTTTGACTGCAAAATACATACCGTGAACACAATGATATTGGACTTCTAAATATTTAAGAGTTCCTGGACAGGGGTCACCAAACATTTTGCTTGATACAACAACACTGCAGTTTGACTTTTGACTACATCTGTTAATATAATGAACAAAATTATAAAGTTATTCAATGCAATTATGGTATAATTAAAATCAATTAATGAATGTTTGCAAACCTGTCAGACATGATGAGAAAGGAACGGTAGGACATGCAGATAACGTTGAGATCAAGCCGTCCACCATCGTTGCAGATACTGATACTGAATCGGCCGTAATTGGCGCGAACCAGATGTATGGAACTGCCCTCTTCGCAGGTCAGGTGCAGGGGATTGCCTTCACAGGCGTATGTAGTCTTGTAGTGAATCCGACCTTTAATGTTATGGTTTAGTCAATAATTAGTTAAATTTGTCGCATAAATGCAATAAAATTAAAAACGCATAATTGGTATTCATATCATTATTGACCGATCTTTACCTCTATCTAACATCGGAGGCCTTATAGAAAAATTGGGAACCGATACTATGGGTGCAAAACAAAACAAAATAAAATAAAAAATCAAGCAAACATAAAATCATAAATTTAAATAATAATTACAGAAATGATAATTATAAAATTACTTAAATAAATGTAATTAAAGTAATGGAAAAAGAATTCATTTTCAAACTAATTTTGGTGAAAATTATGGTTTCAGAAAAGGTAAATATAAATTATGTTTAAGATTAAAACCTTTTTTAATTTATAAGAATCAAAATTAAGTGGAATAAGGAAAAGTATATTCTAGTGAAATAGTTTGTATTTTTCATTTTTGTGATTACAATCTATTAAATATTATGATATAATATGAGTACAAATATTTACAGTGCGATTAAAGTTCTGTATTTGCCTACAAATACAAAGCAATGTAAATCTCATTTAAAGCACCAGAACCTCAGATTAATGTTGCTTTTAATTGGTTGGCATAAATATCAAAATTAATGAATGCGATAAAACTTTTTATTATTTTGTACCGTAACAAAATTGTTTTAATAATTGAATGGAGATATCATAAAAATATTAATACATTTATTATGACACACATCTCTAAATTCCTTAATATTAGTATAAATACTAATGTTTCTATTATTCTTGCAAAATAGCCGTATAATAAGACATTTTTTATTACCGAATTTATTTTATTAGTTTAAATAAGTTTTATGGTGCGCTCTAAATGTCTAAATTTATTGTACTATTAAAACATTTAAACATCAAGTCATATATGAACACCTCGATTAATTTATTTACCAAACAGTATTTGATTTTAATAAATGTAATGAGAATATAGTGGGATATGTATTAATAATTATTTTAATGTTTAGCTTATACCCATTTTATGAGAGGTTAAACAAATTAGAATTTTTATTTTCTAAGTGAAACAATGTTTTCAAACAATGTTCGGAATAAATTTCAATTGTATTTAAGGTGTTGTTTGAGTAAATTGTATAATTTCAATAAAACATGAAAAACTACATTTTATTATGTTTTGAAATATGAAGTTTCAATACACGGTAATGCTATTAATGCTAATGACTTCAAGGATTTCTTTATATTATTTCATGCAAAGAATGCATTTAATTAATTAATGGAGAAAATGTATAATATTTAGAATAAATTAAATATTGACTTGAATTTAATGAAAGCATAACTAATCTAAAAGTTTAGACCAGAACTGAATGAATCGATAAGAGAGAGCGAAAGCAAACAAACTTTCATATAATATTCAGTTTGTTTTTTGCAGTTTCTTATCATTAATGAAGCGCTAAGTCTTGTCGATAGTTTTCATTGATTCAGAAATTGTTTAATTTGTAATTCAGATCAGATACTAAACAAATAACGGACCGACTGTAATATGTTAATTCAGTTTCATTTCCAAATCCAATGAAAACTATTCATTTGTAACGAAAAGCAAATGTAATATAAAGTTTGAGTTTTTTACATCAATTCTGTTGCAAGCAATTTCAATTCATGCTATTATTATTTATATTGCGAAGACTTTAATTAAATATATAATAAGTAGACCCAAAATCAACTTTGAATAATATTATGTGAATTCACAATATGGAAAGGGTTGGCATATTATGCTATACATCATTCACTACCACATCTATATTATAGGTCAAAGACATTTTGTTTCCTTAGATCATGATGACTATTGACAAAATTTTGATACCAAGTATTTTTGTTAGAATCTTTGTATCTGTTATAAATAATTACAAAACTTATGTAAATCCTAAGAAATGTATTCATAAAGAATTGAGTTGACCACAACTGTAAGAAATATCTAGAAATTAGTATTTCATTTATACGTTTGTACATTATTAAACTAAATCTATAATAAACTATTTTATAAATATACATTAAGTTAGTTATTTACTTTTAAAACACAAAACCACTAAAACTTAGAGAATTGATTTGAAAAGAGTTTTCAATACATTGTATGTTTGTATTGAATTAGAAGTCAAATCATTGATTGTGAATCAGAGTAAGAGATTTTACTCTATGGTTACTCCAATTCACAGCTTTTAGTTTATCATCAAAATTAAGAGTTGCAGCTCAAAAAAGTTCACTTTTCTGATATTTATCATAATTTAAATTACATTACAAAAAGTTTTATCATTATATGTAAGAAAGTTTAAATAAATTTCAATCTGAAGCAGAGATACATTTTTCAACAAGACTAACAATATTTTAACAAATACATTAATAATTTATAGTTTGACTCTTTATATTAATA